TAACTGGCAAACCCTGCTTTCTTCACTCCTGACTCAAGTGTCTCGCTGCCTCAGACAGATTCGTGCCCCCACAGGACCATGTCCACAGCTCTGTCCAATATTCTTTTTGAGATGGAAATACCCCCTTCCAGGTGCTTTTGGGAAATTTGTCCGCCAGGGGCTGCTGAGGCTTTGGTGAGTTCACAGGTCTGGGCACATGTTCCCTCCCTCAGTCCCCTCAAGGGCAGGGACCGGGCCTGTGTCTTAGGCCGCGAATCTCCTGCTCAGTGTCATGACTCACACTGACCACCAGTGTGCAGCTCTAACAAAACTGGGACACCTGTGCTACGGCGTAGAGAGGCAGGCAATGTCAAGGCCACGCTGTCTTCCCCAGTCTCTGTAAAGGAGAACACGGGTGCCTCGACTTTCCCAGGTTAATAGCAAGTGGTGACTCTATAGGAAGTCGTGTCCACTGTCTCCAAGTCCACTAAATGTGTCACTCTCCACATCTCACCAAAAAAGGCAGCTAAACAATGAGGCTGCCGGATGTCTGGAGCTCTGGGTCAGGCAGGAGGGCTGAAATGGAGTCTGGGGGCCTCAGGTTTCCCAAAGGCTGGGCCGTGTCCTCACAAGGAGGTCTGCTCCCTTTCTTCTTCTCCACTTGACTTCCCTGTCTCCTTTTTGGCAGTGAACATCATTTATGCTCTTGACATTGATTCCATCGTAAATGGCCAGTCTCTGGAAAGTGCTGCCCGCTTTGTATAAACTCTCTTACCCAGTGACTAGCACCACCTTCCTTCCTCTGAAGAAGGGTCCATGATGGGAGGTGGAGGAGCCTGCTGTGCAAGAACCTTCTGGACCCCGCCCCAGACAACCCATAAGGCCACTTCAGAAAAAGCCACCAGGGACCTCAAATACATCAACAGGCCGTGGGGGACGCTCCCTGTGACACAGAGGTTTTGTTGCCAGCTGAGCCAGTCACGAGGAGGAGGGCACTGGCGTATGCTTGTGTTTCCAGGGTGCTATTTTGAGCCCTGGGCTCACGCAGCCCAGTGTGCAGCACTCGGAGATGAAGCTGGACAAGGCCTTGACCTGCTTAAGGAACAGGGAGCAAGGCTCAGCCCTGTGAGCTCTGTGCCCAGACCACCCCAGACCTGGGAAAAGTGATCCAGGCTGTGGGCCCTTGATCGTACAGTTGTACGATTTTAGGAAGACCCAATTGTACAATTTTGGAAAATGTCTTTTCCTAATGGGGAAGGCTCCCTGAGAAATCCAGATGCGCTCTGTGAGTCTGAGACAGTATCTGAGTAGGTGCTTCCCAGGCAGTCCCAGACGCTGTGGCTGCCCCCTTCCCAAACTGCCTTGGGCTGCAGACAAGTAACAGTTTGCTCTAAATTGTGTCCATGTGTTTGCCCATGTGGACTGGCCCCTGTGCTCATTCTCTTTGGTCCTGGTTGGCCCATCTAAGCACAAGGTCTTCGTGTTCTCTCTTTCTGATTTCTGGAGGCTGGATGGGTTAATGCTTAAAAGAAAACAGATGGGAACTGAGAGATTAGTACTTAGCAGGGGCCAGGCCGGGCTGAGGGGTACTTGGCTCACGGGTTGGATGGGGAACTCCCTTCTTTCCTCTTGGGCTCCTGGCGGGAGGCTGACTTTGGTCAGGAGAACAGATGTGGGAAGGGCTCGGTGGGGTTTTGGAGCCCATGTAAGCACAGGGTTTGGGCTCTGCTGGTTGGGCTGGGTTTCCTTCGGTCGCCCCAAGTGCTATTCCAGCCAATGGAGGGGCAAAGCCTATAGCAGAGGTTGTAGGTTAGAGGTCTATCAGCCAGGCTCAGGCTCTTGGTACCTATCATGTGGTTCAAACAGTATTTTTATTTCATTTTAATTAGTCACCAATGTTTTTAAAACAGAAACTTGTCTTTAAATCTGGATTTCCAGCTTCTTGTGAAAAATGGGACTATCTGGCAACACCGGCCTACAGGCGCAGTCAGCTGGAGTTGAGGGGCTGCTGCCTCCTTTGGACAAGACACATTCAGTGTGCGAAGCAGCACACCCAAGCAGTGCCAACAGCCAGCCAGAAGGCCCCACACTGTGATAGTCAAAGAGACTGTTCAGAGCTCCTCAGGCCTTTGAGCAGGAGGCCAGGCTTGGCTCAGAGCAGGAACGGTTTCTGAGGGCTGGCAGAAAGAGGCAATTGTTTGCCTCCATTCTCTGCCTCAAGGCCATGAGTCATTCTTGCTCCCATCACCAGAAACCGAGAGCCCTGCAGTCCAGGATAACACAGTCAAAGGAGGCAAGTCTCTGCCTGTCCCCCTTTCAGAAGACACAGGCACATACTCCAAGCTACAGACGGCATCACATCAGTGCTGAGGTGCAAGAATTAAGTGTCTTTTCAAACAACATCAAGCAGACTTGAGGAAAGCATTAACTGCAACAGCATATTCAGTCTGGGATTTGGAGCTGGGACCTCGAAGATCTCAAGCTCAGGCACCACCATGTCCAGAAGACACACCAGTGGGAGCTGAGGCTCCTGTGTGTCTTATGACATGAGCTCAGAATTTTCCACGAAGGGAGTATTCTATACTCCTTTCATTTTACCCTTGAAAGACTGAAAGAATGCCATGAAAGTTACCAGTATAAAGTTATGGCTAAGTTCAGGAAGATTTTTAAATCCTAGAGGTGGCTAATAAGAGTTATCACACACCAAAAGATACCAAGCCAAGACCTCTACTTTTATGGTACAGGCAAACCACATCCCTGTTACCAAACACACAGCACAAAGGAAAGAAGGCTTAGGATATACAACACATGAAGGGTAACTAAGCTTGTCTTCTGTTTCAAAAGTCTAAAATCCAGTCCATGGAAGGACAAGACGGACTGCCCCGGGTGATGCTGGGAACCAGCGTGACTGCTGGGCACAGAGACTCTGACCAGGCTCAGAAGCAGCGCCACAGAGAGGGAGTGGGACAGTCCCAGAAGAGCAGCGGGAAGGGCGCTCAGACCAGTCGGGGCCGCAGTGCAGCCATTCTCTGACCGCCAGTCACGCGGCTACTTGCCAGGCACTGCCTTCCTGACGCATACACCTTCTGACAACGTCATGACATGTTCCCTTCCACATCCAAATGTTCCTTTTCTGTCTTTTCTTTTTTACAACACCCCATCATCTTCCTCTCTCATCCCCACCCCAAAACCACACCCTGCACAGCCTTAAAAACACAGTCCAGTGGGTGTTCCTACACTCCCATCACTCTTTGTGAAAAAGCTTTTCTGCTCTTTGATATTTTTCGATCAGCCGATTTTCTCTCCTGGGTTTTTAAAAGAAAGATTCAAAACTCTTAAAAATAAATACAAAAACAGAGAAAGACAACTCCTCTCGCTACTCAGATTTTCAGGGAGTAGCAAGAGAAATGCTGTGCAATTTAAACAGAAAATCAAATGGATTCAGGAATGTGTTAACTTACTCATCAGCAATGAAAAAATAAAAAACCAGTAACAGCCCCCAGCTTTTGGAGCTAGTTTTTATAAAGTCATCTGCATACAAACACTAACTTAAAAAAATGTTTTCAAACACAAACGAAGCTAACAGACATCTAGGAACTAGAAGATTTATCTTAAAACCAAAGGTCAGATTCAAAGCCCGGGTTCATTACAAAACAATTTTACTTTTATGTTGACTACAGCAATAAAAAACCGTCGGAGCCCTGGGGGAAAGAGGACAAGTGGCCATCCGATCAAAGCCCCTCGTTTGAAGGGATGGACTTCTGCTCTTTACGTAGTTAGTGAGCCCCTTCCACCTGCCTCTGCCATAGCAGGAGCGACAACGCACACACACACAGCTTCAGTCGTGGTTTATTTTTCAAAATAACTGAAAATGCCAGAAGGATGCACATTAAAAAACCACTAAATATATTAATAAATTTCATAGAATAAAATTTCTAATTACCTTCCCAAGAGATTCTGAAAAGACTTTTTAAAATTTTTATTTATTTATTCTCAGAGGGAAGGAAATGGAGGGGGAAAGAGAAGAACAGAAACATCGATGTGCAAGAGATACACTGATGGATCAGCTGCCTCTCAAACCCCCCCCCCAATTGGGGACCCTGCCTTCAACCCGGGCGTGTACCCTGCCTGGGAATCGAACCAGTGACATTTCAGTTCGCAGGCTGGCACTCAATCCACTGAGGCACACTGACCAGGGCCTGAAAAGACTTTTGATAAAAATTTAGTATCCTTCCTAAAAATGGTAGCTCTTCACTTATAACAGGTTAAAACTGTTCAAGAGTAGAAGAATCAATCAGTTATACTTTAGTTCAAAAAAATATTTGTAAGTGATAGTAAAGACAACTATACAGCAAAATTTAAAGTGGGCAAAGCACTATGATGTGAAGCATACAAAAATCTGAGGAATAACTGCACATCTGGTATGAATAGAGCTCTGCAAATTATGTGTATATATAACAAGGATCAAAAGAAAATGAGAAGTTATTTAAGAGATTTATTTATTTGACTAGCAGGAGAACAGTCCATTGTTTTTCACTTTAGCATGTATGAAATTACATTAAAATATTACTTCTGTAATACATTTCAGGAAAGAAGACTACACAGAACAAGAGGGGGGAGAATGAGTGGAAAGGGGGCACAAAATAAGCTCACCGGTGACTCTCTAAAGCCCCAAATGCCGCCTGCAGTCAAGCTGCAGTTCACGTGACGCTGTGCCCATGACACTGCCAGCAGAGAGCTCCTCCGCTGAGCCAGGCCTGGAGGAAGGACTGCTTGGGGATCTGTTTAACCAGCCCAACAGGTTATTCATGCAGGCCAGGCCCCTTCCCCACCCCCCACCCCACCCTTCAGCTTTCAATGTTCAGGCCGGTTTCACCTGCTAAATCAACACACTGCACTGAGCAGCCAATCCCAGCTCCAGGGAGGATGGGAAAGGAAGAGCTGTGACCCTGACACAGAATGGGGCTTTAACACATAAGCTCCCATAGAACCCAAGGGCCTTCAGCCCCAGCCGCCCTTACCTGTTGAAGCATCTCTTCAGCAGCATTGAGTTTCACCTGGTGTCCTTCGAGACACACTTCCAGGTCCCGAATCTTCTCTCCTTGGGCTTCCACTTGGTCTGTGAGGACACTCACCTGACAGGGGAAATAAAGCAATGGTGAAGTCGCAGGCCTGGCTCCCCACGGGGCAGATCCGGGAAGCCACACACCGCTGAAGGGTGGCAGGCGGGGGAGTGTCCCGGATGAAGGAAATGCCAGTCATTTTCTTACCTTGCCAGGGAGTCTCAGCCACTGCCTCAAATAACGTTGGTCACATTTCCTGCTCTTGACACATGCAAGAGAAAACACCCAGCAGCCACGAGAGCTGCCTCTGGGCTGAACTCTTGCTCTTACTCCTCTTCTAGAGCTCGCTCGGGCAGCCCCAACCTCAAGGCATATCTGGGCTGGTTTGCCAGGGCTTCCGCTGCCCCACGTGGAGGAGCAAGCCAAGCTGTGCGGAGACTAGCCAATGACCTCACCTCTCTCATAAGGGTGTGAGGCTGCTCACCTATCAGGTGAGTGTTCTGAAGCAATTAAGGAATGTGGGACGGAAAGGGCATGTATTAGCACTGACAAAACTTGGCTCCAGAAAGGTTTTTGTGCTTCACAGGCCAAAATGCGACTCTAAGTCATAAACATACACAAGCCACATTGCACACACAGTGGTGGGGGAAAAACACATTGAGAATATTTATTGGAATTAATTTAGAAAAATACATTTTTAATAAATTATTTAAATTATACCTGAAATATGCACTGAGAAAATTCTCATAGCCCACTCTATTAGCAAACTGCCTTGGGATCCTCTTCCCTTTTCTTTTTCTGAATTAAAAGTTACCTCAGAGCGGGAAGGTAAAGAAATTGAATAGGTGACCTCCCCAAAATAAAGAAGTCAGTCCCTGATAAACTGGGATCCTTTAGACTATTGGTTTTTCACCAATGGCTCAGTCATTGCCATTTACATATACAATAGATTATCATGTATGTGTTTTTGAAGATTTTATTTATTTACTTTTAGAGAGAAGGGAAGGGAGGGAGAAAGAGAGGGAGAGAAATCTATGTGTGGTTGCCCCTCACATGCCCCCTACTGGGGACCTGGCCCACAACTCAGGTATGTGCCCCACCTGGGAATTGAACCAGTGACCCTTTGGTTTGCAGGCTGGCTCTCAATCCACTGAGCTGCACCAGCTAGGGTATCCTGAATGATTTCTTAGGTCTATAAAGGAATAAGAGCTGGAGCATGAATGAGTTAATATGAATTCACTTATGAGTATTTAAATAAACTTTATGAATTATAAAGCTCCCCTTACAGAAGAACTACTCTAAATTAATATGGCTACATTAAGCTTTCCATTTGTATGTTCCCAAGTGATGAATGAATTATTGAAACATATTCCTCGAGTTGGGGCATGGTGTGCTAACATTTCAATTATAATCCCAAAACGGGCACCTTCTGTCAATTGGGCCAACGTTAAACACAAACCTTTGTTCGCTTTTTAATTTTTATTGCCCAGCACCATCAGCAGTCTGGCCTCTTCAACCACTAATGCTGCTTCCAAAAGGGTAGGATTCCAGGAGGCGGCCTCTGATCCCTGGGTTCCACAGCTTTAGTTTGGGAAGGATATGTTCTGGTTAATCTTATTATGAGGATTAACACCTATGGTCTGCCAGCTTGCCTTGGGCCTTCAGGGGCATGTACTGGTGGTACCCCAAGGCATAATAGGTGGTCTGTAGCATCCTATAGCTTATAGCTCAGCTGCAGGTAAGACTCGAGATACACTGGGTTGCAGGGTCCTTAGGAACCTGAATATTCACTCTAAGCATAATGAATGAAGAGATGTAGAAAATTTGAACAAGAAATAGAAAGATTGTAGAATGTGACCTTTATGTAATAAAAACAATTTTTTTGAGCCCTTACTACAGGCTAGGCATAATTTTAGACACTGGGGGAGATACAGAAGTGAAAAAAAAAAAAAAGAAAAAAGTAAAGCCTTGCCTTAGAACTTATATTCTAATGAAAATAGAAATGATTTTGGTTTTATTTGTTTTTAGCTAATCCTGGAAACAAAGTATTTTGTTCTGTGTGATTTCCCTTGTTCTTCTACAGGTAAACCCAGGAAAACATTCTGGGCCAACGGCTTCAATTAATTCAGTCAGGCTGAGCCGCCACGTGACTTAAGCAAGAGGCCTCACTATGCAGAGGGTTTGCCTCACTGACTCCACGGGGCCACTGCAAACAGGAGTGACCACTAACAGCAGCTCTGAAAGTCTGTCCCTAAGCTCCTGGCAGAATAGAAATCGCTAAGATCCACTTCTGACTTTTCTGATAAGCAGGTTCCTAATTGCATTGGAATTATTTAAATAAGGATTATTCAATAATTTGGAAGTTAAAAAACAAAACCATGAACATCAAAGAGATTATCAAATAGGACTTCTTTATTAAAATGTAATCCCCTACATAGGAATGTGTCATGTCAGCTCTGAAGGTTTCTGGTTCAAACATTTGCAATTTCATGGTGTTTGTTGCAAAACTGTAATCTGGACACTCTTTCATTAAACATCTCATTGGGATGGCGTTTCAAAGGACACATTCCCGTGCTCAAATGTGCTACCTAACCCGGCCCCTGCCACCTCTCCGATGGCAGTCCCCACCAGGCTTCCTTGCAGGTCTCCCACTCCAGCCACCTGGCCCCTTCCTGTCTACTGCTCAGGGCGTGTGCTGGACCCGCCACTGTGTTGGCCTGGCTTTTCCAGGCACCTGAGTGGCTCCCTCCCTAACTTCCTTCAGGTGTCCTCCTGTCAGGGGAGGTCTTCCCTAACAATTCTCACCCTGTTCTCCTTGTCTCCATAGTATTTATCACCGCCTGACACATTTTGTGTATTGGTTTACTGTGTGAGTAAACGACACACACAGACACGCACATACGCAAGTGGAAGCTCGAGAACAGGGACTGACTTAGTCTGTTTTCTTCACTGCTGTATCCCCAGAACCTAAAACACGTATCCGCCAAGTTGTCAGCACTCAAATATTTTTAATGAACAAAATCAATGATGTGAAGGAAAAAAAACAAACTAGGAAGCAAAACTGTATAACTGTATAATTGGTTTGAGCTTACTTATTTAAGATAGGGGTAGGACACTCTGGCTGGTGTGGCTCAGAGGACTGAGCACTGGACTGTGAACCAAAGAGTCATAGGTTCGACTCCAGGCAAAGGCATGTGCCTCGGTTGTGGGCCAGGTCTCCAGTAGGGGGCGAACAAGAGGCAACCACACATTGACGTTTCTCTCCCTCTCTTCCTATCTATAAATTAATTAATTAATTAACTGATTAATCTTAAAAAAGAAAAGGCAGGGGTAGGACAAGATAAAAAAGGCTGGGGAAAAAAGGCCAAAAGGCCAAAATGTTAAACTCTTTTTGATTTTCCAAAGTTTCCAAAATAATTATTTATTACTCTTGCATTCATAAATTGAAATAAACTGAATAAAAAAATAAGGTAAAATAAGAGAAAAAACCAAAAACATACTTCTGCCTCTTAACTCTACTGTTAAGCAGAGCTCCAGGGCTCTAGACTAAAGCCCGCAGTCTGGGGAAGGGGGTCCCAGAGCCCCACCCGCCCCGTCTTCCACTCACTTCTAGTCCTGCCCGCCACTCTTCAAGCTTTTTAAAAAGCTAGGTTGGGATATTAATCTTGTTATTCTCCCAATCATCAATGCATACCAGACCTTGATGCTTAATTCATGCAGTTGAGAGCTGACACAGCAAAGGGCCCTTGCCACAGCAATAGGCCTCTTGTAAGATTGCTCAACTTTATGGCCTACAAAGAAAAGCATGTTTTCAGAACGGAAAGTAATCCTTTGACTATCTTTCTCCATGAAACGTTGCAGAGTTCCTCTCTTCGAAGCCAGAGAGTCATCAAAGGTGTATTATCCCACGTTACCAGCTCGAGGCCTCCACGTGTAAGTATAGATCCACCTCCCGATTATCTGGGCTGATCAACATGCACCCTTAGGCCCATATCACTCATGGCTCTGTTTTATTAGTGACATGAGGACACAGCTTATTATCCTCACAAGACTCCTGGGCTTCTAGAAGACAAGGCTCCATTAATCAGCCTGGCCACGGAGCTTCCAGTGTGTAGAGATGGGTGCTTGGTAGTCCATGATAAATAAGTGAATACACTCAAAGTCCCCAAAGCCAAGCTCAGAGCTAAATTGTGCCCTCAGTTACTTTCTGCTTTGTTTTAGGAAAAGCCTTTCTAAAAACACACACTTTGAGAACAAGATAAATCCAACAGAGAAAATCCTTGTACGTCTCTCCCACTTAGGGCAGCTGTGGCATTGGAAGTAATAGATGTGCTGATTCCCACCAAAAAGGACCCACCTGTAATATGAGGGACTCCTTATCTCCTTCTAGACGTGCCAAGCGTTCCTGGTATGTTTCATTACTAGCAGCACTGTGGTGATTTACCTGGGACTAAAGAGAAGGAAAACAAAAAAGAATGTATTTAAAATGTGGGAAAAACATCTTACCAACTTCCATGTGCAGTGTACAATTTGTGAGGACAGTTTCACTGATTATATGTGCGAAACCACTCACCTAAACATGAAACCACAGGATTTTAAAACTACTACAAGAAGAACATGACCAGATGCTGTTGGTAAGTGGTGCTTTGAGAGTTGGCAAAACCACGCGCTAGATGACCTCACCCTTGGCCAGGAAGGCCTCAGCGGAGCTGCAGACCCAGTGGTGCTTGACTTGACTGGATGTGTTGGGTCTGGTTTAGCTGGAGGCGCAGCCTGCCAGAGGCACCAATAGCAATACGGTTCTACTCTTTGAGGAGACCAGAGCTCTCACCAAGGAACTACGTGGGGACAACTCCTGCCCAGACCTGGGGATCCCTTAACGCTCACGCAAGGGTTCTTCAGAGCCAACGCACACCTCACAGCACGGAGGTCCGTCCTGACCATCACAGTGAGCACAGAGGATAGGGGATGCCAATTTCAAGCCCCTTCATCTACTCACGCGTTCCTTCCAGAAGTGGCCAAGCCCATGGCCTGATAAGGTCTCTGGCAGTCAGGCTGGCACACTGCATTTCTATAGAGCTAGAGCTGAGAGAAGCAAGCTAAGACGAGACATCTTGAGAAGAACCCAAATAACCCAGAGGGATCTCACAGGGCTAAGCAGAGAGAAGACACAATAAATGAAAAGTAGCCAGAAACCATGGAAAACAGAGGAAAGGGGGAAGATTTGAAATGGCCTCGGAGAGGCAGACTCTTATAATAAAATGCCCTGAGCTAGAGGCAGGAGCTACAGTCATTTCCGGGTGTGTCTGACGTGGTTGTAGGCGGGGAAGGTAGATAGCTGCTAATGGAAGAGAGTTGGCCCAACGCCACCAAACACTCCCTTCCTCTATGCTGAATACAAGACCAAAACCAGAGGCCCACCATAGGCCATCCAGGGGCTTGACAGTCTGAAAAAGCTGACCTTACTGTTAAATGGGAAAGTGACCATCGCAAGACTCTGGGCTACTCCAGAGGAATCAATGCTCCAGTGTTCATGAGGAAGGTATCCTCTACCCCAAAGGAAAGTCATGATTACAAAAGAAGGGGTCAGAGAAGAACCTGGGCACAGGGGACCCAAGCTGTTCCCCTTCTCCTAAGCCCATTTCCCCACATTCCAACCTTCAGAATGGGCTTTCCGGACCCCCTCCATTAAGAAAGGGAACCTCCTTGCTTCCCTCGTCCCACCCCTTCCCCAAAGCACTGCCTAGGTGAGGGCAAGTGGCAGAGCCTGGCCTGGCCCTGAAACAGAAACAGGGACCATACATTCTGCACTGAAGTCACAAGTCTTGCTTGGGAGGAAGCCCTGGCTGGTTGTTGCAGACACAGTGGGAGGGGAAGACCAGGGGACATTTCCTAGGGCGGCTGTGCCAGGCACAAGCTAGACAGGACCCAAGGCCACTGCCGCACCACTGCCTTTCACCAGCCTCTCTGCAGTCTGCATCTGGTTCATTGTTATAGAAGCTCTTTCACACCACAGACAAAGGGCCTTAACAATCACAACTGGCTTCTTTGTGTTGATAGCAGTTTATTATTGTTACATTACTTAATATTCCGGTCCTTGCATGATCAAATTCCCTGACTAGTATTTAAGGATATAATTATAAGCTACATTTTCTCACAATCTTACAAGAAAAGAGAGAAAAATAATTTTTAACAGCAGGTTAAATGCTTCTGTCAAAGAACTCACACAGTAATGATTTTCAGGGGTGGAGGAAACAGACTGAGGTTTCCGTGCCCTCTTGCATCTCGGTTGAAGAATGAATGCCTCCGTGGAAAACACTCCCTCTCTCACATCACAACACTGACCCAGGGCGGGGAGTTTCTCATATGTACACTGTCAATAACTCGGAAACTTCAGTCAACATTACTGAAGCTAAACCACCCTTTCCTCTATCAAAACTTTGCTCTCAAGAGGATGGGTAAAATCTCGAATGCAAGGAATCCAGCCTCTAACACACAGGTCGGCTGAAGGCAAACATAAAACATAGCCCAGAACTATCAGATCAAGGTTTTCCCCAGGCCTTAAGAGTGATGTTGCTGAGTCCTCAGGAACAGACAACACAGGGCCTTGACACTTACATATTATGGGTCTGTTTCTAGAAACTCAAAATGCTACCACCACTAGGACAAGGCAGTCAACAGTGTAAGGCGGGGCTATTTTCTAAGCCATCTGGAAAGGAGAGGCTTCAAGTTGCTGTAGCAGCTGCAGGATGTTCTCTGGTTGGGGGTCAGGGAGTTGACTGTGATAGTGAACCAGCCTTGGTGGTTAGGAGAGCAATGAGAGGATGAGGAGTGGACTGTGTCATCCCAGGAAGGACAGGACTGACCAACACGATCCCAGCATGGGCAGAGCCTCTACGTAAAGGGCAGTTTGGGCTACACAAGGACATGAGCCTAATCAAAACTGAGTCCAGCCCCCACCCTTCCCACGGGGGAGTATAAAAAGTTTATTCTTAGTGAGTTCCTCATGTACTGAGGGCTGGGTACTAGCAGACTCAAGAAATACAGTGTGTTTCCATATCTTGGGAACCACTGCATTTTAATTAGATTATCAGAGGATGCCTAAGGCCCCCAGAAGAAGCCTTACCATTAGTTGCAGAGAAGCTCAGACAAGTCCATTTTTCCTTTGAAGAAAGGGAATGGAGAAGACCGATACAGACAGAATGCTCTAAGCCCTTCTTTAATGAAATCTATTGTCCGTCTGTCCAGAATGGGCTGGGGTCATCACCTCAACTAGGACCACATGGAGGAAGTGAAGACTGTCGTCTTTTCAGATATGAACCTCACCTCCCAATCACCTGCTCCAAGCTTGACAGGTTGGAATCCTTCCTCTGAATTTTTATACTTGGGATCAGAAAGTGGCAGTGGTGGAGCTAGAAGTCTCTGAGGTTGTCAGTGGCCACGTCCCCTTCCCTGTGGAGGAAGCAGGTTCGCAGAAGCAGTCTGCTATGAAGCCAACATGCACAGAAGTGAAGGAAAGCCAAGGTAAGACAGAGGGTGGCGGCGTTCTCACCCCTGGCTCGTGCTGTCTAAAGGCAGAGATGGCCCTGCCCTCCCTGTGAGTCCCTTCTTGCCCTGTACTGGTTCAAACTAAATTTCTATTACTTGCAACCAAAAGTGCAGGTCGATGTATTTATCTCAAAGGGTGACTGATCAATCAACTTACTGAAATTTACTCCTTTGGAAACAGACTTACAAGAAAGAATTCCTACTATTGGGATATAGTAACAAATGACAAAGGAATTCTGCCTACTGTAGCTTGATTTGCTTGAACTGGCAATTTTAAAGATGGCACCAGTTCTGAGCCAACTATTATTAAAACCAGGATAACTATCAAGGGCTAATGGGGACCTACATTGTGACACAGGGTGTGTCCATGTGGGGTACGGGACAAAACAGGCACCCAGACTCCTTCGTGTGTGGAACGGATGGCTTCCTACCCACTTCGTGTGTGGAACTGTTGGCCTCCATTCTTACTTCCTGTGGGAAATGACGAAGTCAGACAGGGAATGACACCAGATTCAACAGGCCCATGGGTGTCAATTGTGGGGGAGGGTTGGGGGTTAAGTCTTCTCTGCAGAACAAGAGCAGAAAGAAATGGCTCTAACTATGTGTAATCTCAGGTAGGTCACCCTGACTCAGGTGCCCTATCCTTTAAATACAGAAAATTTTACCTCACAGAGCCACAGAGAGGGTCCCTTAGGTCATTACACACAAAACACGTAGGGATAACAGTGCAGAATGCTCTCTGTAGCAGGATACTCTAATATTTCCTGTGTGATATAAACAGTTTCTGAGTGACAGTGGAAATACGAAAATCATTTAAATGGCTTCTAAGTAGCATTAGAAGCAGTTTATCCCTTGTGCTGACAGTTTTAATTAACTCTTTCTGAGTGAGAGAGCAAAAAGAGGCTACATTTCTGATTGGACACCTAAGAAGTAACTGTAAAGATCTGCACAAACAACCCAAAGGAAACCACCAAAGTAGCTCCGGGCTGGAAAAAACAAAACTCAGCCTCAGTGACAACACTGGGCCCCGTCGGCCAGGAACGCTGAGACCGCCTGCAGCGCAGACGGCCGGGGACGGCCGGGGACGTGTTCACTCCTCCACTGTCCCAGAAAAGATGCCTGTGCTTTGAGTCATATCTACATGGCCACAATTTCCCCTTTATAAGCATTTTACTACATACTATAAATATTGCACATGTTTGTAATGAGCCACATTGAGGATATCAATAGCTAGTAACGAACAATCATAAAACTTGCATTATTACTTGTTACAATCCAGAAGTCGGGTCACACTTAGGTGAAACATGAGCCTTCCAGCCAAGTGACCCCCCACAGCCTCCTCAGAGCCATCCCCCTCTGCCTCTCGTGGCTGGTCAGATTCCACGATGCTTGCTCACTCCTGGCTGGCCCCTCCATGGAGCATGGCCAGGGGAGAGCCATCTTAGATCTCTGCAGAGTTCTGGATGGCATGTTGTTTGCTGCCATGGCCAGGGGCCACGCAGAATCCCCAGGCACACGACCTGCCTCTGCTGGAGAGCTTGGCCTCCACGCGTGCTCGGGTACACTCCGGGGTTGAGGGTGAGGGCATCCTGCAGCATTCCCGGCCGGCACGTTCCAGGAGGCCAGCTGTCAGCAGTGCACTTCACTGAATGTGGGGAAAGAGCTGGTTGAAGAACAGTCAAGTGGGGCAGACCAGGGGTCACACGAGGGTGTCCTTTGGTATGCAAGCATGGAGTGTGGGAAAACCCTCAGGCCGCCAGCTCCCCTGGTGCGACAGCTCTAACCATCCTGCATCTTCCTTATTCAGAGCCATGGCTGCTTCTCGTCACTCCTGCCTTGGGGTCCTCAAAAACACAGCTGCCTCCTTTTTCTGGTCTCAAAGCCTGCAGCCTCCATCAGGTA